AGGGGTTCCCACTCTCATGTAATGGCAGTGGCCAAACACAACATGTGACACTGGACAGGTGAGATTTACTGCACTTTATTAGTTAGATATTCCCAGCCCAGGGGAGGAGGACATAGGAGGTGCACTCAGGAATGGAGTGAACAGCCAGGGGTTGTGGAGGGCAGGCTTTGTAGTGATGACAGTGAGGTGTTCCTCGGTTCCTGCATGAGAGGTAACTGGCTTGTTTGAATCATTCTACAGGCTGGCAGGGAACTGAAGCCTACTACTAAGAGATAAGCAGTTCCTGTACCTGGTTCATTTGATGAAAGGATTGGCTAGGGGACCTTACCCACAGAAACAGCAAGAGGGCAGCTGACAGGCAATCTGAGGCCCTCTTGATTTTACCAGAAGTCAAGGTAATACATAATTCTTTTTTTTTTTTTTTTTGAGATGGAGTCTCACCCTTGTTGCCCAGGCTGGAGTGCAGTGGTGTGATCTTGGCTCACTGGAGCCTCCATCTCCAGGGTTCAAGTGATTCTTCTGCTTCAGCCTCCAGAGTAGCTGAGATTACAGGTGCGTGCCACCACACCCAGCTAATTTTTATTAGAGACGGGGCTTCACCATGTTGGCCAGGCTGGTCTCGAACTGACTTCAGGTGATCTGCCCATTTCAGCCCCCTAAAGTGCTGGGATTAAGGCATGAGTCACCCTGCCTAGCTGGTAATACATAATTCTTAATTTCAGCTGTTCCTGGTTAATTAGGAGAGTTCTTTTTGGTACAGATTTTTGACTGATTTTTTTTTTCACATCTATTGTGATAATTGATTTTTTCTCATTTGACAAACTCATGGCTTATTAATTTCATACAGAATAATATAGTTTTATTTTCTTGAATTGTGTGTAGGATTTTCCCCCCTGGAACTCATGACCTGATGAGTATGGTTTCCAGTTTTCCTTTCTTCCTATGCTATTAGGAATTGGTATAAGGGGAATTGGTATAAGGCTTCATAAAATGAAATAGCATTCTATCTTTTCTGGGTTCTGGCACAGTTTGGTAGGGTGAAGATTGTTCAGTGAGTTTAAGAGATTTCTTCCATTAAACAACTATCAGAGCCTTTTTGGTTTTTGTTTTTGTTTAGGCAAGGTCTTGCTTTGTTGCCCAGACTAGAGTACAGTGAGTAGCACAATCATGGCCCACTGCACCCTTAGCCTCCCAGGCCAAAGCCATCGTCTAACCTCAGCCTCCTTAGTAGCTGAGACCACAGTTGTGCACCACTGTGCCTAGCTATTTATTTATTTATTTATTTATTGAGACAGGGTCTCACTCTGTCACCCAGGCTGGAGTGGCACAATCTCAACTCACTGCAACCTCCGCCTCCTGGGTTCAAGCAATTCTCCAGCCTCAACTTCCCAAGTAGCTGGGATTGTGGGTGCTCACCATAACAGTTGGCTAATTTTTGTATTTTTTGGTAAAGATGGGATTTCACTATGTTGGCCAGGCTGGTCTCAAACTCTTGACTTCAGGTGAATCTGCCTGCCTTGACCTCCCAAAGTGCTGGGATTACAGCCATAAGGCACTATGCCCAGCCTAATTTTTAATTTTTTTTGTAGAGACAAGGTCTCCCTATGTTGTCCAGGCTAGTCTTGAATTTTTGGGCTCAAACCATCCTCCTGCCTTGGCCTCCCAAAGTGTTGAGATTATAGGCATAGGCAACCATGCAACCAGAAACTTTTTTGGACATATTTCTTGGATGATGTTTTTAACATTTTTGTTATTCTTGTAATTTTATTTCCCAGAAAGTGATCCACTTTATCAGGGTTTTCAGGGCTGGACGCAGTGGCTCAGGCCTGTAATCAGTACTTTGGGAGGCCAAGGTGGGTAGATCACTTGAGGCCAGGAATTCAAGACCAGCCTGGCCAACATGGCAAAACGCTGTCTCTACTAAAAATGCAAAAAATTAGCTGGGTATGGTGGTGCTCATCTGTAATCCCAACTACTGAGACTGAGACACGAGAAGTGCTTGAACCCCAGAGGCGGAGGTTGCAGTTAGCCAAGATCGTGCCACTGCACTCCAGTCTGGATGACAGAGCAAGACTGTCTCAAAAAGAAAAAAAAAGTTTGTGTCAGTGTGATCATTAATCAGCAAATGACAGATCATCTTAGGTAACAACAAAACAAAGCAAAAAAAGTATTGATTGGTTCGCTTAACTGATGAACCCAATTATAAAGAAATAATCTAGTTCATAGTTGCTCTGAAATGAAGGGGATTGCATTAGTTTATTCATTCAACAGTTACACACTATGCTAGAATTTAAACGTGTAAATTTTAAGTGAGACTCTGTCTCAAAAAAAAAAAAGCTTTTCAATATGCATTGAACCAGAGTCAGATATAGTATTCTCTTATTTTCCTGGTGTTATTTTAAAGATGCAAAATCACATTACTCTATGAAATAGGAATGGAGAACTACAAAGAGATTAAGTTAAGATCAAGACAGAGGTGGAATGGGAACTGGCTGAAAGAAAGGAAAATAAGCAGAATCAAATGTCTTATTGGAGAAAACAAACAGTACTCTTGGCTCTGAAGGAAATCCGTAATGGTGAAGAAAACCTTGAGATAGTCTTCCAGGGTGCAGAGAAAACGAACAGATTCATTTGACATTCGATGATCCAATGTGATCATTTTAGAGGAGAGGAAAGAAAAAAACCCAAATCTTTTCACAGAATGGACAGAAAGAAAACTTTTTTTTTTT